TATGCCAATGTCTTCAAGAGTTCTACCTAACTTATCTTCCAGCAAGTTTAGTGTTTCTGTCTTAATATTTAGATCTTTAGTCCACTTCAATCTTAGTTTATGCACTACTCTGATTTAAGCAAACTAAACCCACTGATAGTATTTTATTTCCGTAATTCCAAAAATGAAAACTCACAGCTAACACTCTATGTCCTTGCCAACCAGCAAGCTCAATGATGATATTATTGTATATATTCACCACTTTGACTCCCTCAACCTTGTCCAAGAAAATTACCATTGCAACACTGTCACTGGGATAACTGCTTTGTCTAAGGAAGTCGACATTTCCAGAGATTCAGAATCACATACATTAATTCCACGTAACTATAAAACTTAGTCCTTTACATGCTTTTAACAAGCATAGATTGTTATATTTTTCTACAACTTAAGATTTCTATAGTAAACTGGCTAAATATCCAAGTTCCTAAATACCAAAGCTTGCTTTGAGCCAATTTCTCCTTCCTTGGTAAAACATAAACACTCTGCAAGTTAATGTAAAATTTGTCTTATTTTGTATTCTGGAATTGACAAAAGGTGGAGAGAGATTGTCATGTGACCCAAGGTCCCTGCTGTCATGTGATCATGGGGAGTCCCATCTCCATAGCTCCTGGATGAGCTTGGAGGTCCTCCATTCCCCCAGGACCCTGAGCTTCTTCTCTCTTCTACATCTCCACCTCAGCGTCCTAGGCCTGACGCCATCGGGGCCGCCTGCACCGCCCGAGGCCACTGGCTTGGGGAGCGCTCTGGGGAGGAGGGGGCGGCGAGCCGCGGTCACGTGAGGTTCCGTCTGCGTCACCCGAGGCCCGGGGGCCCCGTAGCTACGCCCCCTGGGAAGGAGCCGAACGCTCCCGCCGCCCCCGTAGCTAAGCCCACCGGGAAGGAGCCGGAGCTCCCGCCGCCCTGGGCCTGACGCGCTCGGCCTGGCCTTCTCTGCGGGGTGCAGCCCAACATCACTTTTTGAACATTACTTTTTAGAACAGTTTTGGATTTAGAGAGAGATTGGGAAGATCGTACACAGAATCCCTTACACTCCGGTGTGCCGTTTCTCCTATTAGTGTGACACGTTTGTTAGATTTAATGAACCAGCACCGAACATTATTATTAACCGAAATCCACGATTTAGTCAGACTTCCTTACATTTCACAGGTAACAGCAGATTTTGCTGTTCCATTAGAATAGGCATGATGTCTTTTTAGGGTTTCTTTGCTTGTGTGGTGCAGTTTCTCAGCTTTTCCTTGCTTTGGTAGACCTGGGTTGGAGAGGAGCGCTGCTCAGGGAGATCGCAATGTGGCGGTGAGGCGCCCTCCCGTGCGGCTTCACGGTGTCTTCCCGACGGTCAGCCTGGGGCAGGGGCTGCGCCTGCCGCGCGCACGGGGCAGAGCTCGCTGGGCAGCCAGCATGGAAAGGGCGCGCACGGGGGCCCTGCACCGGCTCAGAAAGGGGTGGCGGCCAGGCGGTGACGTCAGGAGCAGGTGGGCCCTGGCCCCGGAAAGGCTCGCCGTCCCTGACTCGGGTTACAAGGCTTCTCACACCGGGGCTGGGAGTTTTTCATGGACGACCATAATGAGAAGTGACGTTTTCACCACATCACACTGAGTCCAACACTATCAATCTGACGTATTACTGTTGATGCCGATCTTGATCACTAGGCCAATGTAGTGTTTGTTGGATTTCTCCAGTTTAAAGTTTCTTTGTTTCTCCCCCTGTCCATGTTCTCTTTGTCTCTCTCAGCCTCTGTCCACGCCCCTCTTTTTCAAGACTAGGGAATGAACCGAAGGTCTTCACACTGGTCTAGATCTCCAGCTTTTTACAATTTTTGTTTTGAGACAGGGTCTTACGAAGTCCTTAGATTGCCCAGGCTGGGCTCGGACTGGTAACCCTCCTGCCTCAGCTTCTTGGAGAGTTAGGATTACAGGTGTGTGCCACCGTGCCCAGCACTTTGTTGGGCTTTTTAGAAGGCGATCTCTATGTGCCTCCCACCTTTGAGGAGTAGGAAATTATGGTATAGCTCCTTGAGGATGGAGTGTCTGCACAAATTATTTGGA